CGGAGCCGTAAATGAAGTTGAAGATTCGAACTCGAAATGTTTCAAGATGCCTCGTGTTCACGAGCCCGCCCTGTACGGCCATACTTTGGCTCACTGCCAGTACGCTTCCTTCCACGGTTGCGCCGCGCTTCGCTGATGGTCGCCGTGGCCATCCACGCGACCCAAACGATGCCGGCCACGATGCCATATGCAACTTTGAACCTGGTCTCTGCTCCTGCAATCGCCAGTCCAATGCCTCCGTTGATGATGCCAAGCGTGATTCCCACTCTTCCGCCTGCTAAATGTAGGTAGGACCAGCCGGTTCGGCGCCCAACTTTCTTGAAGTAACGATGATGCAAGTAGCCCATGATTGGCATCAAAATGAAGACTACGCCCAGCGCACTCCCGATACCAACGTGAGCGGCCACCAGGTCGTCGTCGAGCTGCCAGAGTCAGGCACGTGCGTTCACCGCGAATGTCCTCAGCAACTGATTCACTTACAAGGGGAAACCCTCCATCCTGAACCAAATTTACAATGTAGGCACCTAAGCCAATCGAGGCGATGAACAAGGCTAGAGCGGCCAATTGTGTGATGGCGTGAAACCAAATCGACATGCGCCCCGGCACCAGCCTCATCAGAACGGCTCCGAGTGGGAAGAGGGCAACGAATGCAACCAGGGCGAGGATTCCGTGTACCGTTCGCAGATACGAAGCACGTTCGACATCGAACCCCGCAAATCCGAACTGCGACGATGATGATGACATGATATCGGATAAGCTCTGGGAGCCGGAGCTGTCGGAGCCACCACCTGAGTTTGGCCCATCAGAGCCCTGCTCTTCGTGATACCATCCTGGCATCTTGAAGGCGTTTACTGTGTATGCTGAGCAATATGTGAGTATGAACAGGTGTGGCATCTTCTAGCTTCAAGCAGCTGGGAGCAGGGCTTTCCCCAGGGATGACTACCTTGCATTGCGGTGAGGCTGGAAGCCAACAGAACGTATGACAATGCCATTTCCTCGCGTCGAGAAATTTGGGCCATGCATAAATGCAAATGAAGAGATGCTGGTCTTGGAAGGCGGCAGGTCCCAGCCCTTTAAGACGTCTCCGACGCCTGTGATCGACACGGACACGGTTGGGGTTGTGCGGTTCACCACCACAGCAGAAGCACCAGCATAAAGTCTGCATCCAGATGGCACGCGCCGGCATGAGCTTTGCTGCCTCAGAAACACCGATGGCCGAATCAAGAAGTGCCCGACAGCTGGCATGAGACGAGAAGAACGCGTAACCGCCCTGAAATGTCGACCAACATCCCGACAGACCGCTTTCTTCGTGGCCCATCATGTGTGCGGGTGTGTAGCACAGGACGCCCGCCGCGTCAGCATTTCTACTTAGACCTGTAATGAATGTGATTTTGGTAGGCACCATCAAGACAGCTGCTGTGCAAAGCCATCGAACCTGACTGATTCGGCGACATCGCACACCTGTTGCGTTTTACTGAATGACATGCCCATTGAGGTCGCTCATATATGGAATTGTATGACGGCAGCTACTAGCATATGCTTTACTCTTGAGGCACTGTTTCCTCCTCAATAGTCTTCTTCTGCATCGTGGCTAGCTGTGCGTGGAGACCCTGCTTTCCAACCTGCATTGCTCGTTCGATCTCGCGTTCCTCCTCACGCAGCCTGGCTTTGCCCATCTCTAAGCTGCGCTGCTGCTGTCGTTTCTGCTCGGCAACCCTCTGCTCGTGGTTACGTAAGGCAGCTTCGCGACGCTGCTTTGCGTCCCTGGCCTTCTTCGTGGCCTCGTCTTCTGCAGTAACCTCTCCACCTTCGGGGGCTGGCTCGGCGGTTTGAATAAACGTCTTGATGAGTGGATCACGCACTGCGGGTGGGAGTGAGATGTACCGAATGTCCACGAGGAGTTGTGATGGCAGTTTCGCGATGCTGGATTTGTTGTTGAGAACAGAAACGGGCAGGGCCTTGAGCGCCGCGGCGAGGTCCGCTTTAAGTGTCGCTTGGGGCATCTTGAGCCGGTTGATGTGCTCTCGGTACCACTTCTCTCGGTCCTTGTCCTTGATGTGGGGATCCGTCATCGCCGCCTCCTTCCTGTATTTCCTCTTGAACTCTTGCCAGTAGAGCTTCGGGTTCGCCTTGTCCTGTAACAGGGCCATGTATGGGATTCGAGGGTCAGTCTTCTCCTGCCTGGCTCGTTGTTCCTTGAGCTCCTGGATCTTGTCCTTGGACCATTCTTGCCATGTTTCTTTCCTCGCCTTCATGGTGTCCAAAACCGTGTACCGTGGGTCGTCCACTAGACGTCCTTCCTCTATCAATTTGTCCCAGGTGTTGTAGGGATTGATACTGTGATCGTCCAGGAGATCTTTAAAGAGAGCTCTCGCGTCTTCCTCGGAGAACTGCACGCCATCCGCTCCGTCTGGCCAATCGTCTGCATTTCCATCGTCGTATTCGCCTGGATCGAGACCGTATGCCTCCCCCATTGCTTGCAATTGGAAGGCAATATCGGCTTCGCTGAACTCTACAGCCTCCTCCTCGCCCGAATCGTCGGTTCTTTGGCGCTTTGGTCGATGCTCCCCGTCGTCGCCCACATCGTCCTCATCCTGCGCTTCGTCGTCTGTTACCTCGACCTCCTCGTATTCGGAGCTGTCGTTGTCTTCCGGCTCGTCCGTCGCAGCAGAGGGGTCCGGGGCTCCTGGTCGATTGCTTGCTCCAGGCGCAGGAACCGGCCCGTCCTTCGTTTTGGCATCTATTTCTGGCGCGGTCTTTGCGAGAATGCGCGCCTGGTCCAGCTCCAATATTCCAGGTTTCAGCTTCTCGGGAATGCGCCAGTAGCTGGTGTTTTTTTCGGGATTGTAGGCGAAACGTCGGCCATACTTGGTCGTGACGAGAATCCATGGTTCGAAGCCCGGTATCGCAGCTTTAGTGCGCGGCCTGTCGTTGGGTTGGGGCCGTGGACGCGAGTCGCCGCCGCCCCGTCCACCTCGGGCAAATCCCCCTCCACGATGGTGATGGCCGGAGACTGGGCCTTGCGCCGCATTCAGTTGCGCGAGATAGGCATTGGCAACATTGGGATCTGACAAATTCGGTATCGCCTGGTGCTGATGGTGGGGACTAGGACCGAGGGGATGCGCGGGTGCCGCTGGCGACAAAGGTGCGCTTGGTCTCGTGTATGTCGACTGCTTCGTTTCGGTATTGTAGTAGTACTTGTGTCCACTGGGTGCCGTGTGCTCTGTCCAGCCGGGGAGAAGTGGTGGTGGGTTCGCGACATTAGGAGAAGGTTGGTACGTAGACTGCAACATCGCGAAATCAACGGTCGGCGCTGAAGAAAAGTTGAACAGCGGTTGTGTCTGATCAATAATCAAGCCGTGATGATGCAAAATCGGGTGGATCAGGTAGATGGCGGCGAAACATCGGTCGTCTGATAAGATAAGAGCTGCTGCTCAGAAGCTCTAATGCTTAAGCGTCAGTGGCCAACAAGGTGCATGTTGGTGTCACGGGGCCATCACGAGACGACATTTTACGACGACTGTGCTAACGCACCATCTGCAAAGGCCGTCCCGTATCTCACATCACCAAGAAAACTCCGGCGACTGCCTGGCGGAATTCTGCGCCTGCACTTCACTTCCATACCTGGAGGAAACCTTGAGTTCGGCCTGCCAAGATGCCACCGAACTGGGGTAATAGTGAAGGGAGTGCGCGCGGAGGCGTTGTGCCCGCCCTGAGTCGATTTTGGAGGGTATGGGGCTCATCATCGCCATTCTCTGCCGGAGACTGACACCGCCTTCTCCAGAGATCTCATGCGCCAGATTATCTGGGCTTTTTTATTCTTTTCGCAGCATGGATGGCGGTCAGTAAACAAGATGCGAGGTTCCGAACCTCCAAACCAGCTAACACTCTTTGCCAAGATCATAGCTTTTGTTGAACCGTTCCACCGCATGTTTTTCGTCAATGATTTACACATCATGTTCCCGCATGCCGAGGTTGAGAGAGTTAGCGTCCGTAAGTTGAATACCTCCCTGCTCCTGGTCCTAGCAAGACGTTCAGCTCATTGTACAATGAAGAGTGGAACTTCATCTATGCACTTTTCATTCCCCTCGGCGTCCTCATCGTATGGAATTTCGTTACCCGTGCATCCGTCCACAAGCATGAGGTGACCTACCTCTGCTTTGGTATCGCGCTCGTCATGACCTCCTTCATCACCGATGTCGTCAAAAACGCAGTGGGCCGCCCACGTCCTGATCTCGTTGCGCGATGCAAGCCTGAGCCTGGCACACCTGTCGATGTCCTTGTCTCCATCAGCGTCTGTACGGAGACCGCCCACCACCTCTTGCATGATGGATGGCGATCCTTCCCGTCCGGACATTCTTCCTTCTCATTCGCAGGTCTCGGCTTCCTGAGTTTGTTCTTTGCCGGCCAGCTCCACGTCTTCCGTCACGAGTCTGGCGGACGGGATCTTAGCCGCGCCTTGGTCTGCTTGGTACCGCTACTTGGCGCTGCGCTCATTGCCATTAGCAGATGTGAGGATTACCGGCATGATGTTTACGATGTTGGAGTTGGGTCCATCCTGGGTTATACTGTGGCGTACTGGAGCTATCGTCGCCATTGGCCAAAGTTGACCGCCAGGGAGTGCCATGAGCCACACCCGTACCCTGGGACGGAGTCGAAGGCTGGGTGGTCGCGCGTACGGGACGAGGAGGACAGTGCGGGTCAACGACCAGATGTAGGCTTTGAGATGGCCTATCTAGGCTCCCCACTTGAAGAGACAAGACGCTGATCAGTGGCTAGGCTTCGGAGTGAATATAGCGATTTGTCCAAGGAGCTCGGTGTTCCGGCGCTATTTGACGTCGCGGCATCGGGGAAATGGGTTTCAGGATTGTTTGTTCGCAGGCACACACGCGACTCCATACGGGCATCATTTGTATAGTATTGGTGGTACACTTCGTCCCGAGAGCGTCATATAAGCCCGTTCCCGTTCAGATCATGCTTTCATAGCCTCTATCGCTTCTTCATTTGTCCTCCGCGCTCTCGTCCTTCGCCAGGTCATGCTCCTTCAGAAGCTGCTTGATCTCCTCGGCACTCCAGAGACGGTGGTAGATCTTTCCGTCGCTCGTCTGACCAACCGTGGCAAATTCGACTACAACGACTCGGGTGTCAGTATCAGGAAAAGAATGACCAGCGAGAGCAGACTGGGACTACATACGTTTCTCGGCGCTCAGCTTGGTGGAATCCATGGTCTTGCTAAGAACCTTCACGGCCAGACCACACGCATCCGTGAGCTTACAATCCTCCTTGTAGTCTTGCTTCAGCAAGCTCTCCGCACTCGCACGGTTGGCACCAACAGCGGTCGCCTTCCATCCGCCATAGTTGCCTGAAGGGTTGCTCTGGTACAGCTGGAACTGTCGCTTGGGATCCCAGCCGGCGTAAATGAAGGAGACGCCGAACGGTCGGAGACCACCATGTTGTGTATAGCCTTGCTTAAGATCGCACAGCCTTCGGACCAGCTGTTCACACGGGATATCTTCGTTGTATGTGAGGAGGTAGCGTTGAGCAGCCTGGCGTGCGTAGTTAATCAGGATATTGGCGTCAGCCGTCATGCCTGCCACGGCGCAGATCATGTTGCTGTGGGAATAATTTCTCAGCAAGTTGCTGCTCTAGTTCTCATCAATGATACATACTCGTTCACCGTGTACAACTTCTCAGCCGACGTGTCTTGCTCCAGCAGCTTCGACGTCACCTTTCGCTCGGCAGCAAGGACGATGCCATCTTGTGCAAGGATGCCGATCGCAGTTCCGGCGTGAGAGATGGCTTCCAGAGCGTACTCGACTTGATACAGACGGCCTTCAGGCGAGAAGATGGTCGTCTACATGACCGATGTTGTCAGTGTTCGTTCGTAACGATGGAGGCTGTGGCCTGGGAAGGGGGTCCTGGCTTACCCGGGAATCGTAACGTCTAGACATGTCGTCGCGTGCGAGGCTTGACAATAAGAGGAGAAGTGTTGTTCGAGTCGGGACTGAATAAGGACCTTCGGCGGAGCTGCAGCGTCGATGGGGTGGGAAGGACGATTCGTTACGATGAGGCGGGAGTTTGACGTCTATGGTGGGAAGGCTGTATGTAGCTTGAAGCTCTAGGCAATCGATGCACGCGTTAGCTGACCCTTGCCAGTGAGGTAGGTGTGTGCTTCAGGTGTAGGTACGACGATTGGCAGAGAGGGAACTTTTAGCGCACGCATTACCACACCAACAAACAGGTCTTTAGGTCTGAACAGAAAGTACAGGTACTTCAAAGTGGGCCTGGGCTGCGAGGTGGGCATCCTCGTAGGCCGAAGCTCACCGCGACTCCGGGCAGTACACGTGACCAAAATCCGCACTAGCCTTACGTAACCCCTCTCTTGTATTGTCATGGAGGAAGCTTCCCACCCATCTCGACCTCTTACCCTTCCTTCGCGCGCGACAAGGCTTCTCTGTTTTTTTCCTTCGGTGACGAGTTCTCCGAGAAAGGTCCCATAGTGTATTATCCAGCCGTGAAAACTTAGGATTGCGTTCAATCGCGTAATTGCACCTCTCGCGAAGCTGAGCGGTCCTCGCGTTCGCGACAAAGGCCCGCGCGGCGCAATCACGCGCGAGCTCCAGCACCCCCGTCGCAAACCACGCTCGGTCTGTCCAGCCCGGCTTCGAAGCCCATAACCCTCGCCACTTGCCAGGGTGACCTCCAGCTACTGAGCTCTTGAGAGGGACGCATATCGTTCCACGTCAGCGACATGTCTGGTAAGCATTGGCGCACAGCCCAGCAATCTGCCCCGCGATCGCATTGCGCGCCGAAGGGCGTCGCAGAACGAGATCACTGACTTGGAGGCGCAGAATCCGAACCTCGGCGCTCTGTACGCGCTACGAAAGGACAGCATACGAAAGCTTTCGACGATCAGCCTCTCGAGGCTCCGAAGAAGCGAGGCAGAAAGAAGAAGCAGCAGCAGGAAGAAGAGCCTGAAGAGGAAATAATACGCTGTGTTTGCGGCGCCACCGATCAAGACGACGACGAGGATGACCAAGTCTGGGTCGCATGCGACACTTGTGGCGCCTGGCAGCACAATGTATGCATGGGCATGCCCGACGACAATCTCCCCGAGCACTACTACTGCGAGCAATGCCGCCCTCAGCTGGAGTACCACAAGGAGCTACTTTCTGGCATAGCCGAAGGTAGGAAACCCTGGGAAGAACGCCAAAAGGCGTACAGGGACAGAAAATCAGCCGAGGCTGCTGAGAAGAAGAAGAAGCCTGGAAAGAAAAAGGGGATCCGAGGATCCAAGCGCGTCAGCGATTCCAAGGAGGATGTTTCGCAGGCCGCGAGCTCCCAGGCTGGAGATTCACCTGCGCCGGAGGCTGCTCCGAAACCCAAGGGCAAAAAGGAGGTTTCGAAACCTGGTCCAACAAAGCGCAAGGCTGACGAGAGCGACAAGGATGTGAAGGTGAGTTCTCGCGAGAAGCTGTCTAATCGGAACGACCAAAACTAACATGTATGTCAACAGACACCCGCACCCAAGGTGCGGAAAGTTTCCGAGACCGAGCCGAAGCGAGTCGAATACGTTGCGCCTGCTGACCTTCCCGCGAAGATGGCAGACGTAGCTGACACAAACCACCGGTCTGTGGCGCAAGCCCTTCAAAAGGCTGTGGCCATTGGCCTCGGAACAGCTTTGAAGAACAAGCTCATTACGGTGCCAAAGGACACCACACCTGCTGCCTTGTCCGAGCTGTGGGCGATCCAGATTGAGCGAGCTGTTCGTGACAGTCACCCCGACGCTAGTCAGTACTCAAACAGGTGCAGGACTTTGGTCTCGAACCTGAAAGCGAATCCAGAGCTCAGCATGGGATTGCTTCATAGCACACTGTCGCCCCCAATGTTGGCTGTCATGACTTCTGATCAGCTGGCCACGAAGGAACAGCAACGTCTGAATGCGGAGTTGAGGGCCAAGTCTGAAAAGCAGTCGATTTTGGTCACAGATGACGGTCCTCGCATGCGACGCACACACAAAGGCGACGAAATGGTGGAGAACGATGCCGAATCTCAGATGGAGGAGGCTCGCCCAGCGTTCCGTCGCCCTAGCGCTCGCGATCAACAGGCTGACGCGACAGAAACTGAGCCCCCACGCCCAGAAAACTCGGTTGAGTTGCCCGCACACGCAGCTTTGCATGTTGATACACAAGGCCCTCAGCAATCGCCGCGACAGGCAGACTTTGATATCAACAAGGTCTTCTCCAGCGTCAAATCGCCCACAGGACAAGAACGACGCCCATCGGGCCAGGTGTACCACGGCAATGGGCCTGGCGTCGATGCTGATGTTGACCGGCTGCTACAGGACGAGACGGATTCTCCGCCATACTCCCCTACTGACGAGTCTGAGCCCGATGTTGTATGGCGTGGCAGCCTCGCCATGAACACGATTGCGGACTTCCCGGCCACTGCCAAGTTTGTAGCAGGGGCTAACCTAGCCGCGAGCATTGGGTTGGAATGGTCGACGCTGATTCCAAAGAGAATGGCCGTGGCCGGTCGTATCGATGAACAGAAGGCCATTGAATATCTCTGTGGCCTACGGTACTCGGACAAGACGGATGTCGTCGTTGTCTCGCTGTCGCCCTCGTCCGAATCCTCGCGGCCCGAATTTCGGAAGCTTTTTGATTACTTCAGTTCCAAGAAGAGGTATGCAGTTATCGGCCAGAAGGCGGTGGGCAATGTGCGCGATACCTATCTCGTCCCTGTCCCTGCAGGCGACAGCGGATTGCCAGAATTCCTGCTCAACTTTTCCGACAACCTGATTCCACAACGTCGCGGTGAACCGATTCTGCTGGCAGTTTTCGTCTATAGAAATCTTGACCAGCATCCGGCGCAGTCTCCAAAGACGAATACGACGACCCCAACCCCAGCTAGCCAAGGCAATCGTCAGCCGTCAGTGTCGGGCCCTGCTTTCTCTCCAGCCGTGGGCCAGAGTCCCTTTGCACACGCCTCGCCATCCCCGGTTACTACCAACGGGCATCCAACACAAGGCGCCCATCAGGTGGTGCCGCCGAATCAGGCACCACACGGCTATGCACAGCGTGAGCCCTCGGAAGATGATTTGAACAAGCTTCGACAGCAGGGCGAGGCTATAGCGCGAGAAGTACTTGGGCCGTTCATCGATTGTGCCACCGTTCAATTTCTTCTGCCTCAGGCGATTCGCATGACGCGCCGGGAATGGCAAGTTTGTCGTGGGATATTCGAACGAGACGAGAGAGCCCGTGTAGATCTCAAGTATCTTAGCCAGCTTCTCCAGATCGAAAGCGAGGCAATGGCATCGGCGTCAGGAGGCGGCGCGCGAACGGCGAATACGCAACCGGCAGCGACGCCATCCGCTTGAGTGGCAGTACCGCTGTAGGGAACAGCAGAGTGGGACGGCGTTGGTTTCTTATACAAATTACGATATGAGCGTTGCGTTCAACAAAGGGTTCAGGCAACATGGATTTGTAGGGTACTCGGTTGGCGATTCCCGCATGGCTCGCAGGGATGGAAGCCACACTATCTGGGTTGCGCGAAAGGTCGGCCTGATCTAGTGTAACCCGCTCTTGTCCTTTTCGGAATGTCTCGCCTGGGAATAGTAGTAGCTTTTCGCGTGTAGTTAACGATGAATACTATTATTGCTTGCACATGACGCGCCTGAGGCGACCCAAATCTGGGCACTGCAGGGTACATGGCTTGAACCAACAAATGCGACACGACGACTTCGTGGCTGGTGGGATCTACGTTGGCACAGACGGCTAAAACGGGTCACATCTATTGGACACGACCTGGGGAGACCTTGACACAGCTGTCCAAGGACATTGACTCGCTGTGCCTTAAATAAGACGTTGCCCATCTTGTCATCTTATTTGCAGTGCGTATTGTAAAATCTTAACTGCTGATCTGACCGTCCACCTCGCTGAAGCACCACCTGTTGGCGCCGATTCCCGATTACTATATGTACGTGCCACGTTCTCAAGGCCATATGTGCAATTGACGTCACCGGTTCTTGTCGCTAACATCTTGCTGAGAACCCAGCCAAATTGCTTCTCCGGCCTTCAAGCCGTCGACATTTATGCGCCTCGGGCCTTGAGCTTTAGTTTCTGAACCGGCTGAAAACGAAACCATGGCTTGCAGCTCCCGATTTACGCCCGTCAACCGCAACGGTCCTGGCAGTGCAGCAACATCTATCGCGGAAAGTGTTCTTAAGCCTGCCGAGGCGACCGGTGGCAAAACCAAGTGCTTGGAGTGTGACGGCTACTCATGCTGCTGTATCCCTATCCCGTGCACAGTCATGTAGACGTCGAATTCAGATTGGAACATGCGGCGCGTCGTGCAGGCTAGGCTCGTGTTGTAGAGATAGCGCATCCTGCACGAGAACAGGGGTGAGATGGTAAGATGTGGAGCAAACTTGTGAAAGACGCAGCGGTCTGAAATGGGTATCAATGTATTTTTTTTGGGCGTACAGAATCATGTCGTTATGTATTCACGCGCTATACTCGGAACTTCTTCACGTGCAGCCCCTTTCGGCTGCTGACCAGCTCAGAGGAAGAGCTCGTCGGCCGCTTCCCATACCTCCCTCTCCCGTCGGTCCGAGACGTCGTTGCTCGCAGGTTGTTCATTCCCTTTTGATGCAGATTCCGATGTAGGACCGGCCTGAAGGATATCGATGCTGCCGAGGCCCTCTAGTACTCTCTTTGCGCTGTCGACCTGGGCCCTGATGGCTGCAGTTTCGGCTCGGGTTCGGTCGAGATGTGATTGCATTAATGCGATACCCGATTCGCGCGCCTGGTGGGGGCGATATTCATTAAGAACATGATGGAAGTTCATGAGAAGCGTTCGTAAATCGTCAACTTTGGCGGTAGACTAGAGGGGCAGCAAAAGTCAGCGCGGCGCGCAGAATGAAGACAACGAGCGAGGGAGCGTACATCTTCCGGGGTGACGCTCATTACTCCGACAAGCTCGAGAAAATTGAGCAGGAGCGATTTGGCCATTCGTTTCAACTCAAATGCGCGATCGAGGTGCTTGCCATCCCTTTCGTCGTTGTGAGCTGAAGCCAGGCGCTTGATGTTGACTTCCTCCAGGGAGGGCAGCTTGTCGTCCAACTGTGCACAATGTCAGTCTCTTTGCCATTGCGATTCTCAAAAAGACCGCTGGCCTCACGTACGCTATACTGTCCGCCCAGAACGCGCCAGGTCCCTGTTGACGGTTCTGCTGGCGGCTGTAGGTTGATCAGTTCGTCGGGGATTGCTGACGTTCGGATCGGCAAGTCCTTTAGGTCAGTGCCAGTCTCCTCAGCCCGCGTAGCTCGCAGTTCTGCGATCCGAGTAATGTTCTCGGGCGTAAAGTCCTTCCAGAACAATGGGGGATTCGGGAAAGCGGAGGAATGGGCCTTCTGGCCTTGCTGGTCGGTGTTGTCACCCATGTTGCTGGAGCTGGCAGTCGGCGGATAGATAGGGGAAGTCGGCTATCCCATGCAGTGATGTATCACTGCATGTCCGCACACCGCGATCCGATACCGTCGTGTGGATATGATGCGTCTCGTGCAAGTGACGTGGGAAATCTCATCTGGAATGGAGGCGTTTTGCAACTGAGCTTGATCCAATTGCCTACTGGGAAGTGGTACCTTCCACCTGGCTGCGAGAGGTGCTTCAAGGGTGGAGGGGTCAATGGGTGTTGCTCCACCTTGGTGCCTTGATTCGGTTTAGCGCGGAGAAAGCTACCTGCAATGTACCCCAAGTGCCCAGGTGATCCTCATCTGACAGCTGCTGTTATGTTCCCCCTCCTCAGCAACACAGCGTGGTGGTGACGACAAAGAGCGTGCACGCTGCCGAGTTTACGGACAAGACTCGCCCCAGACTCATAGCGAGGCATCGAAGAGTCTCGTCGCCCTAGCCGGACCTGCCCAAAGCCGAGAATAGTTGCAGAAAGGCTGTTTCTTTGGATTTAGCCATAACCAGCCATAATCAAAGACCCCCGATACTGACGCACATCGACTCTCTCGCCGGCCGTTGACCGCCATTTCACATTCATGCAGCAAGTCGCCATGTCAGACGTCCGGGCCCTCTTGCGGCAGCAACGTGGTGCCCGTCGAATTGACCATCCATTCGCTGCCTACTCTGATGCTGGCAAGCTTCTCTGCACCCTTTGCCACGAAGCTGTCAAGGCCGAGTCGCTATGGGATGCCCATTTACGCGGGAGCAGGCACACAGACAAGTCTCAGAAGCTGCGAGCCTCGCAAAAGACAAGAACGACAACGATAGAAGAGCAGACGAATGGCACGCACAAGCGAAAACACGATGCAGACTTGGACGACGAGGATGCTACGATGGTCGATGCGACAGCACGCAAGAAGCGCAGCAGGAACGACATGAACACACGCGATCGTTCGGGTTCGGAAAACAGCAGCGACAGCGCGGGCGAGACCTCGCGCGACCAAGAGATACAGCCGACAAAGGACCAGACGTTGACGCCCCCAACACTGAACAGGAGGACGTCCACGACGCCCGTCCAAGGCGGCGAGATGCTGATCCCATCACGGCCCGCGACGCCTCACCACCGCGACGGCACCTCTTCTACTGCGACACCCCTTGGTCCGTCGCCGCTCATTCCTCAAGACCCCATCGCGCCCTCCGGACAGCCTGACGACGCGGTATCAACAGTGACCGCACAGCAAAAGGTGGACGAGGACGAGTGGGCTGCATTCGAGGCTGACATGGCGGCTGAGAGCATGCCATATGCTGACGACGCCGTCATCTCTGCGCCCGCCATGACTGCAGAGGAGCATGCCGCCAATGCGAGAACCGAGGAAGAAGAGCGCGAAAAGAGGCGCCTGGCGGCTGAGAAGGACGTGGCTGATGAGAAGGAAGAAGCGACGCGCGCGCTAGAGACGGAGTTTGAAGAGATGGAAGAACTCGAGGCGAGAGTGCGGAAGCTGAAGGAACGACGCGAGGCACTGAGAAGTCATGCTGATGTGACCGACGCAGAAAAGGTGGAGCCACCAGCGCAAAAGGCAACAGTCACCAGTCCAACCGGGAAAGGCAAAGGCGATGATGAAGAAGACGGCGAAGAGGAAGGGGAAGACGACGACGACGACGATGAAGACGATTTTATGGGGTTTCGATTTGGAGGTTGATATACGAAACCCACCTGATGACATGTGTAAACAAAATTGTATAACAAGCATATTGATTTGAAGACAGTCGAGGTGGTGCCCATTGTCTGGCATGGAGCGAAGTTTTGATCCGGCTTGCAGAGGTCACTACGGGCGACGAGGTTGAGAAATACGATGCGTGTACGATTAAGTGACTAGTGACTATTATAGGATGGCGATGGCCATTGTTATGGCAATAGCCATTACATGTGCGAAAATTCCAAAAGATTACAAACCTGGACCCAAAAAGTGACATAGAAAAGAAGAAGGAAAAAGCATCGTCGGTGCTTCATCTCGCGGCCTGTCGCCTATCACCACAGGTTCATGAGCTTAGCAAAGGCCGCGCGAGGAGCCTTCGGCGTGCGCTTGGACTTGTAGGTCTGTCCAGAAGTGTACGCGGGCCCAGGGGCAACGCTTGTAGCAGTACCGTTCACGGGGTTGACACCAGCGGTCTGTGTTGCATTGGCGGAGGACCAGGCACCGCCGGTGGGGCGGAGAGTAGCGATGACAGTGTTGTACTTGGTCACGATCTTGGATGAAATGGAGCAGTCGGGCGTTTGCTCAGGAGCGCCCGTAGGGTAAACAGTGATGTGCTCGGTAGCGGTGCCATAGACAGTCGTGATGACGCAGGGCTTTCCCGGGTCATGGTGTCCGCAGGGAGGGACCGATCCAGTACTGTTCGTCGGCACGGGGTAATGGGCCGATCTGGTACCGTTCGACGGCACAGGATAAGGGGCAGTGGTTTGGTAGCTGCCGTGGCCGTAGATGGCGTCGGCACTCTGATGGACGCCAGCGTCCTTGTCCCCGTTATCGTGACCAGAGCCCTGCTCGTGCTTGTGGTCGTCGCCATATGCCTCGCCGTCCTTGCCTGTCTCGCCACCGTGATGAGTCTCTTGTCCGTACGATGTTTTGTCGCTGTGTTCGTAGGACTCGTTGTGTTCGTGGGACTCGTTGTGTTCGTGGGACTCGTTGTGTTCGTAAGACTCGGTGTGGTACTCGGTATGGTACTCGTCGGACCCATACTCTTGCTTTCCGCTGCTGCTGTAGTGAGCACCGCCGTTGCTGCTGTTGTTGTCGTTGCCACCGCCATTCTGGTTGCCGTCATCGTGCTTGTTGCCCTTGTCCTTGCTGCCATCAGGGTTACCGTTGTCGTGCTTGTTTCCGGCATCGTACTTGTTGCCGTTGTCCTTGCTGCCAGTGCCAGTGCTGCCATCGTGGTCCCCGTTGCCTTGCTGGTTTCCATTGTTGTAGTTGTTCCCGCTGTGGTTGTTATCGCTTCCGTAGTCCCCGTTCTGCTTTGAGCCACCCGAGCCGGATGTCGAGGTATGGTACGCCTGACCCTGGCCATCCTTTCCGCTGTCATGGCTGCCACCGCCGGATCCGTGATCAGATGCGTGATCCTTACCGGACTCTCCCTTTCCGTTGTAACTGTCCTTGCCGACGGAATAGTCGTTGGTTCCGTACTCATGCTTTCCGCTGCTTTCGTACCCAGATTCGCTCCCGTGGCCGGCGTACTGGTCCTTGCCGTAAGACGAGGAGGCCTGGGCCTCGTAGCCGTTATGAGTCCCCGTCACTGCGTCGTAGGCAGCCCGGGAAGGGTCGCCGCCATCGCGGTATACGTTGGTAGTGGTAGGGGGGATTTCGTAGGTGACCGTTACCGTCTTCTTGCCATCGTACTCGGCGTGTGTGTTGTACGACTGGTCATCGCCTTGGCGGATAGTGTGGATAACGGTTTGCGTCTTGGCCGGCTCGGTGACGGTGATGCACTCGGTGACAGTCTCCCTGAGGGTGGTGACGGCACCGTGGAGCGTCTCAGTCACCGTCGTGGGGTAGGCTTGGACCGGGGGGCAAGGGCAGGTGTTTGGGTTTGTGTTGGAGCGAGGTCTCATGCGTTCCGGCCTGGCGCTCGATAGCGAGGCAAATGGCAAGAGCAGGAGAGGAATGCGGTACATGGTGGGCGGAGTTACCGTTGAGCTCGGCGTAAGATGGTGCGGGATCCTCCTCTGGGGTCTCAGGTGTGAAGATGCAGTGTATGAGATCGAGGCTCGAGATGAAAGATTGTGGAAATGGTTCTATGACTTGATGAAGAGGCTGTTGTGTGATGAGACGATTCGAAAGGGTCAGAATGCGGCGGCACGACTCTCTCACTTATACCACAATTCTCCTTACCCTCCAAGCAGGGAGTCTGAAGGAACTGATCGAAGGAGTCTGATCAAGGACCATGATGGGTCCAGGCGCAGCTCACCCTTCCCTCCGCTGGCATCAAGGGCAGATGTATTGAGGCAATACATTGGGGATGTAAATCAGGGCTGCAGCCTGTGTTCGTCGCAGGGGATTGACGTTGGCATGCGAAATCCGCTACCTTTCCAGGAAGCAGTGAAGGGAAAAGAGGGAGGTCGCCGCTCCCCTTTCACAAGCAACTTTTCAACGGGATAAATGGGTATCTTGAGACAAGACCATTGAGACCAATGGTATCCGTTGCGAATCTATGCGCAACCATGTGGAGTCGTGCAGTCCCTGGCGAGGGAGAGCGCGAAGCCCAGGGAGCCCACCAAATGGGCCATCTTGCAGCTGGAGATGAGAAAGAGGTGACTCTGGGCCATGGCGAGAACGACTCACTGGTACTGCGCATGATCGTCTGCAATCATGGGCGGCCATCGAGGCCGCTGAGTCGCCCAGTTGTGTTTCTCTTGATGGGCAATGCTATACCCAACTCTCGACGTGAGGAAGTGAAGTCAAAAAAGATAAGATCAGGGACAGGGTCACCCTGGCCGTAAGACTAGGTCGGTGTGTGCCTGAACCGCCTCCCTGGGAGCAGCTCTGTGCTGGGCATTCGGGCGTGTGCGGCCCGCCCGGTGTGTCAGCCAGCGGGCCGCCATGCCCCCCTTCTCCCCCCCCCCTCCCCACCGCGTCATGTCGAACCAGGCCAGCAAAGTGGGGGAGGGTCTTCGCGGGCCGACGTGTTTCCGACGATGCTCGATGGTCCGACCTCTGACCGCCTGCTCAATATGGCCTTTCGAGGTGTCACAATTTCCGGCCTTGCCATGTGCTGCTTCAGCGACACCAACAGCAACCAGCAAAACACACGGGCTTGCGCCGCCCCGAGATCGAATTGGCAGCCACCGCAGGCTGTTTGGCAGTCACTGCGCACCGTTTAGCAGCCCACGCGGCGCGTACTGTACTTCCAGCGCCAGATCGGCAGGATGGGCGTCTGCACTTCCTGCTTGGGTGGGAGCAGGAAAGAGGTCTTCGATGAGGTTTGTCGCCATACAGAAGTATTCAAGAGATGACTTGCTAACGGTCGCTTGCGTACAGGACGAGGAATCGAGGCTTTTGTTCGACGACCCCAACGGCATTCACTATGGCAGCTTTGGCGACCAGAGCATGAGCGGCCAGGAAGACCCCGTCGAGGTGCAACGCGAGAATGAAGCCCTGCAGAGAGTTGTAGCCAAGACATCCGAGTGAGTCGTCCGCCTGTCGGCAGAGCCCGAGATCAAGAGACTTGGAAATCGCTCGGACTACACAACGTGAATGGCACAGCCAGCTGACGCGTCGTCCCAGCAATATGGTCGATATTTTTGAGATCGCCCCGCAAGATCATGCGGCGCGACCTGCGCCAGCACTCTTTGCGTATGCAGGACAAGAAGCCCGCATCGTTCGATATCAGCACCTGCTCTCCAAACTAGCCTCCAAGGACGAGGGCGAGGGTCAGGGCCAGGGCCCGGCGGGCGTTCAAGTGGATTGGCTTCCCCAGGAAGACACGGTAGACGTGCAGCGCCGTGCTCCATCCATCAAATCCGAGTCTGACGGTCCCCTCGTTGGCACCTTTGCAGATGCAGCTGCTGCGATGGCATGACGTGCTGCTTCGGGACAGAACATCGACACGTGCGCCGCACCGCCTACGGTCCGGTCCATCGTGGCCCGTGTTGGCCGCGGCTGCATCTGCGACTGCTTCTGCGACTGCTTCTGCGGCTACGGCTGCGGCTACGGCTGCGGCCATGTGGCCGCTGTATTCACTCTTGTACATTATTTGACGTGGGACGATTAGTCCTTGGACATGCCCACGTCGCATCTCACTTACCGACAGTTCGGCACCGAGGGACGGGCCGGTGATGCGGCGAGGTGTTGACGATAACCCCCGCCTGCAGGACGCTCGTTAGTCTTGCATTCTCATTGAGTAATATTGGAATGCTAGGTATTTCGCACAATATATGGTCATGGAAATTGACGACACGAGAGAAAACATGTCGGGTTTACTCAAAATGGTTAAATCAGAAATCAACTCGAAGCACGCCCCAAGAGCCGGGCACACGCACCCCCTCTTGCTCTCCACCACACGCCACCGCTCGCATACCTTGCCATCGAAGTCCACTTGCTTGCCTCATCTGGCCAATCGCTTTGCAGGTCAATTTCTTCATCAACCCCAAGCGTGGAACGCACGAGTCCATTGAGCAATGACCACGTGCCCAGTCGGCTGATGGCGCTCCAATGTGGAGGCCCTTTTCGTACAAATGAGTGACTGTCCCCCTCTACCTTGGCCGGCACTCGTTGCCCCCAACCTCATACGGCCTGGCCCGTCGCCTGGCCCGTCGCCGGCTTCGGTCCACGCCGACGACTGAGACGCGGCGTAATTCTCGAATGAGCAGCGCGCGCGCGAAAACGGAAGACCACGAGCAGGGAGCAGGCATGAAGGGGCCGGGGTGCCATGTCCATGATTTGCTCGAGCCTCCCCGCCCTCTCAGGGTTGTGCGGGAGTCTGTGGGTTTCCCGTGGCTCATTGGCGGAAGCCAGGCGTGGGATGGGGATGCGCGAGGGGGCGCGACCGCATGGGTGACCGCTCAGCCTGCGTAGTAGTAGTAGTAGTAGTAGTAGTAGTACCCCGATGCAAGCCAGTCGTGTCTTTCCCCCCCTGGCTGGATCCTGCGAAAACTCCCAGGCTCCCTTCGCTGGTCCCACGCGCAGATGACAAGCCCTGTACCATT